TTAATTAGATTTATATTTTTATCGAATAAAAATAATATTTTTTATAAATATATTTATTTCGGATTGAGTTGGATTTAATTTTTATCTCAAAAATAGGTCACATTCGAATCAAGTGAAATCACTCTTAAACTCAGATCGAATTGAGTTTCAAGTAGAAAGTATATTTTTGGGTCGGTTTGAAAAAACGCAACCCGACCCAACCCAAAAATTCTCATTTAATTCAAAGTTAAAATCGTCTTATCCAATAATAGTAAATTTATACTTAAATTCTTAAAAATTATAAACCAATATAATGATAAATTAAAATTTAACCCATCCTAAAAAGTTATAATTCAATTATACCCCACACTAAAATTCTTTCTGGCTGGCTTTACTCCTGCCGATTATAATGAGTAATGGCACAACACTTGTCTACTAAAAGACCACAAAATAAAAGTTACGGATCCATACTGATAGTTTAGGAAATGTATTAAACTTTTTATGTATTGTGTTAAACTTTTAACAACGTGGTATAAAATGAATGAAAAACTAAACATTAGGTATGGTTTAAAAAAATTAGGTATTAAAACGGATCGATACTGATAGTTTAGGAACTGTGTTAAGATTTTAACAATGGTACTAAAATGAAACAAAAATTAATATTATGTATGATTTTAACAAAAATTAAGTACTAAAACAGACTAATACTGATAGTTTAGGTACTAAATGTATAGTTTACCCAAATATCTTTGCGAGGCGGTCCACAGTAATTCCATGTCCCCATCCATCGTAGCCGTTCGTAACAACTGTCGACGCGGCATCTTTTGAAATGTCAGGGTATTTCAAATGCATTGCCACCAAATGGCTCTTGGTTAACCACGTGGCCTTGATGTTAAAATCAACTTAAATGAACGAACATAAATGAATGAATTATCGCGTGAATTATCAAACGTTAATAAAATAACTTCCCGCGAATAGTTCACAAACGGTTGGATGAAATTGAGTCGTAAACTTTTTGTTAAAACCATAAATGAACGAATTATAAACAATTACGTTGATAGACATAATGAACAAACGACATTATTCTATTTATTCATTTTATTAAATAACAAAAGATTTTATTCATGTTCATTATAAAGGAACGTCCCGCGAATAGTTAACAAACGGTTGGATGAAACTGAGCCATAAACTTTTTGTAAAAACCAAAATTATAAAGTTAAAAGAAAATCCAAATAAAATTTAGATGAAAAAGCGTGCAAAGCTAATACGTTTATATACTGGATTCTTGGTAATTTACCAGTGGCAGCAACTTCATTTAGGAAACGCCAGCTCTTCTTTCTCCTGGGCTTCCTTTTGTTCAGCTACGTGTTTACTTATCTCGTATTTCAGTTCCTTTCTTTAAAGATAAAAGGGGGAGCAAAAAAAAAGAGGGTTTAAGTTCAGGGTTTGTAATGAGAGTTATAAACGATGGACTCCGATTACACGCGTGGTGCTCCGTCTCCGGCTCTGATTTCGGATTCGCTTTCAATGATAGTAAATTCTCTGATCGACTTCTAAGGATTGAGATTATGGGTGGACCCTCCGACTCGCTCCCGACGGTGAGGGTTGCACCAGCATCGCCGATTGGGCCAGCCGTCGCAAGAGGCGCCGAGAGGATATCAAGAAGGAAAATGGTTTGCTTATGTTTCCCCTTGATTCTTTCTTTCTAAATGTTCCTCGTTGCTTCTGTTTGGTTAGCTGAGAAAATGAAAAGAAAAAAAAACATTTAAGAAAGAAAATTGCAGTTTACTTCGCGACTAAGCGATTCTTTGTGAACCTAAGTTGAGAGAGTGAATAAAAATGAAAGTTAGGGCTCTACTAAAAAGAAAAAAAAACATTTAAGAAAGAAATAAATTGCAGTTTACTTCGCGACTAAGCGATCTTTGTGAACCTAAGTTGAGAGAGTGAATAAAAATGAAAGTTAGGGCTCTACTAGTTCTGGGAAATTGGAAGTTTTGGAGGAAAGATTTATCAAGATTCAGGGACAGGGAATTCAAAGGGTTGGGTTTCAATTATCTTGTTCATACTCTTTCGTGTCTCACTTGTTTTTATCCAGATTCAGTGTTCCATGCATATTCATGGTTAATCTTTGGGACTTTATGTCTTGTACATGGAGGAAGTCTTTTTTATATTGTAGGCTAGTTTTCAACCCTTTTTCCATTTATCTTTTTTTCCTTCCTTTTTGTAGCTTTGGATCTTAGTTTATGTCCTGAGGAGCAGGTTTTAGTCGACAACCAACCTGGTACGAATGATCATTTGGGCTGTGAAAATCAAGACGAGGAGACGGTGGCAATGGTTGAAGAAACACAATCAGGTTTTGATTGTTGACAACATACTGTATGCTTCATTTACTGCTTATATTGTTTTTATGTTTAAAACTCTGGAAATTTCACTTGAACTGGTTACTACGTGATTTTGACTGAATTAAAATTAAGCAAAACACAACTTTTAGAAACACTTATGGACATGCAGAATTTTTCTTCTTAAAGGTGAAGTAATTTGCTCTACTCCAATGTAGTATGATTAAAAGAGGATTTTATTTGTTCTTTTTTTTTATTTCTTAAATAGTATTATAAACAGAGGATTTTAGTTGATCACTTTGAATCTGTAGGCCATGTGCCATGATTGCATATCCCTCGCCCTTGTTTGTTTCAAACGTGGAGTTAGCATTTTTATATTCTTGAACTTTTGTAGGTGACGAGGATGCAAATAGTTCTATGGTTTTGAGAGTTAAAACATTGCATATCAGCTCTCCCATTTTAGCCGCTAAAAGCCCATTCTTCTTCAAGGTAAGATTTGTAATTAATAGTAATTGATGTTTAAAGAGGAAGTGGAAAAATATATTGTGTTTCTATAATTTAAATATAGCTTATAAGATTATTTGTGACCCTTCTCTTATAGGTAATTGCTTATAAGATTACTTGTTCATTCACTAACTGTAGCTTTTCTCAAATGGGATGAGAGAGTCAGAGCCACGACATGTAACCATAAGAATTAGCGCCTTTGGTATATATATCTTCATTTTATTGTTCTTGGTTATGTTAGTTATTCAAATAGGTTTGAGCTGGAAATTTGAAATGACAATTTTTACATTACTTTGATGTATAGAGGAAGCTGCCGTCATGGAACTTTTGAATTTATGTATACCAACACATTATCTTCCACCAGAGCTCCTGCCTTGCTTGATGTGCTGATGGCTGCTGATAAATTTGAGGTTGCCTCTTGCATGAGGTATTGCAGCCAGCTATTGCGGAATTTGCCTATGACACCAGAGTCAGCTCTGCTCTATTTGGATCTTCCATCGAGTTTTAATGGGCGAAGCTGTTCAGCCTTTGATTGATGCTGCTAAACTGTATCTTGCTTGCCGTTACAAGGACATTACCAAGTAAGCTCCTGTTCTTCATGCTTCATGTTCTTTTACATGAGTTGGTAGTTTATTGTAACTTTGCATGTAAGACAAAAGCTTTAAGATGTTCAATAAGATCTTTACATAGTCCTAGCAGTATTCATTTTTGAGCTATTCTGATCTTATATTTTGAAAATGGTCATTTTCAACAATGGACAATAAGCTTTAATGTCCTTTTCAAAAAGTACAGAAAAGTTGACAATTCTGCATATTAGAGGGCTTATATATGATTTTGCCGCACTTTTTACCAGGTTCCAAGAAGAGGTAATGGCTTTGCCGCTAGCTGGGATTGAGGCAATATGTCCAGTGATGATCTGCAAATTGCTTCTGAAGATGCTGTGTATAACTTCGTTTGAAGTGGGCCAGGGCTCAGTATCCAAAACTGGAAGAGCGAAGGGAGGTTCTTGGTTCACTCCTTGCACGCTTTATTCGCTTTCCTCAAATGACTTGCAGGAATCTTAAGAAGGTATTGACATGTAATGATTTTGATCACGAGCTTTCATCAAATCTTGTGCTTGAGGCCCTCTTTTCAAGGCTGAAGCCCCACATAGACAACGAAGCTTGGCTGCTGAGTCTGCCACCTTGAACCGACGCTTTACCGAGCGAGCTTACAAATATCAACCTGTTAGAGTGGTGGAGTTTGAACCCTGCCAACAGTGTGTTGTGTACCTGGACTTGAAGAGGGAGGAATGTGCACAGTTGTTTCCTGTCAGCACACTGCATCATGGACGAGCAGATCTCGATCCACTACTTCGGGTTATTTTTAGGAATGCAGGAAAAGGGTTCAACTAGTTTATCGGTGGATTACGAATTTGCAGCCAGGTCTAAGCCAACAGCCTTGTTCTTTAGCAAATACAAGGGCAACTACACATTCACCGGTGGCAAGGCTGTTGGCAATCCGAATCTGTTCGCCATACTTGGACATCATTCATGGATGAATATGGTTTTTACTTCATAAATGGTGTTCTCCATCTTAGGGCTGAGTTAACCATCAGGCACTAACCATACGGAGCTTCGATCCCATTTACTTTAGATGACTAACCGTTGTCGTTTTCACTTTGACCCCACCAAAAGTCGATATGTAGCAAGTAGAACAATGGGATGACCTTTCGTTTTTAATCATCATATTTCTTGAAATCAGAATGTCCGGAATTGAAAATCTTGTTCAAGATTTCATGCAAACATATATAAATACAAAAAATTAAGCGAACTTAAATTGTATATATAATAGTGTTATTCTTAAGGTTTTAATTCGAAAAAGTAGGTGTTCAAAATATATATACATTATATATGCCTAAAAATAACCGAAGCCTAAATTTGGATGGTAGTACACATTTCGTCTCTTACCCTACGGAGCTCTTCTTCCTTTCGCCCTCCTCGTTGCCACCGCTTTCTTTATTTCTTCCTTTTTCATCACAATACATTAATGTAATATTTCTATTTTCATGGAACTCGACACACCTTTCTGTTCTTCTCGTTTCAATTACATCTACCACTCTTTCGCAAGCTCTCCGTTGATGGTCTCGATTCGCTTTGTGCGGAAGCTTGAACATCGAAGGTTGATGGGGATATCTTGATGGGGTCTGATACAAGTCGGTTCATAATCCTCATGGTTTTCTCTTCCTTGTTATCCTCGATTGTTTGCGGCGGCAGCTCCGGTAGCTATGATACCAAGGCTTTAGACGCTTTGTTTCGGTATTACGCGAACCAGACATTGAATGAACATCGTCGAACAGGTATTTTACACCGAGTTTCACTTCCTTCTAATTTCTCCGGCATGAAGGTTTCTGTTGATAGACTACGTAGCGGGAGTTTATGGGGCCGAGGAGTCGATTCTAAATATGTTAAGATCCCACCTAGTGTTAGAACATTGCCTTGCGTTAAAAGATTAGCTATAGTCTATGATAACATGGGAAATTGGTCTTCCGAATATTATCACGTCCCCGGTTATTCGTTTGTCTCTCCGGTTGTATGATAACATGGATTTAACGACGTTAATGGAAATTGACGTTGATCGTCACAGGGAAGCCTATTTCGATCCGGTTTCCATTCGTAGAGACGAAGGAGAAAAATGTGACACGACTTAAATGCGTCGTATTCGGAAAGAACGGGTCGTTCGTGTTGAAGAACATGACGAAGAGAGATGTTTGCGTGACCGAAAAGGCAGGGCATTTTTGCGTCGTGACACGGACGAAGTCGTCGAAGCCGGAGAAGGAGGAAGGGAGCGAGGGTTTGGAAATGGTGGGTGATAGGGTCGGTCTCGGTGGGAGTGAGGACGTCGAAATGGTGGAGAGAGAGGAAGATCAAAGACATGGAAGGAATCCGATTCATCAGTGGCGTTGGATACGTTTGGGTCAGGGGAAATCATAAAATGCCCTGTGCATCGATGATCGAACACAGCCGGGAATCGAGCATGATTAGCTCTCGACCCACACGATATTTGCTTTTTTGCGTTGCTATCTTTTTTTCCTTTTAGATTTATAATAGAAGTAAAAAATTTCAACGCGATTCTTTGAATTACATTGAGAAATCGAATCAGATGGAATTTTATTTCATGTAATAAACTTAATTCGTTTGTCGGATGCAAGTCTATTTGGGCTTAGCTTGGTATATCATCCACTGTAAAATATAAAGGACTCTAAAGGCCGGACCACATTGGATTAGCCCAAATTTCATACTAATTATACAATTTAATAAACAAAAACAAATACCCATTCATTAAAATTATATTATTTTCAACATAGCAGCAAGGCCAATTCGGGATATCCATTCATTAATAAAAAAAAATATATATTTGTAAATGAGATTGGACGGGGTAATCCTATTCTCACCGGCCTAAGGAACAGTAGAAAATGAGCGTGATTGAAAATATTTATAATATTTTCGGTTTAGCGTAACTTAAGATGTTAAAAGGATATCTAATTTAAGGTTAAAGAACAACAAGAAATAGGCGCGATAAAAATGTTATAAATTTTTATAATATTTTTGGTTAGACGTAACTTAAAATGTTAATTTTTTAACAATTTTAGTTGAACCGAAAATATTACGTAGAAGGTAATATTTTCGGATGCCAACTAAAATGTAAGAAGAAATTTTTTCAATAAAAAAAATATTTAAAAAAAAGTTAACATTTCACGTCATATCTAACCGAAAATATTAGAACTTTAGCACCGGATTTCATTAGAGGACGAAAATTGAATTAGCGGTGATCGGAATATGATAATCTTATAGAAATTCTAGCTTTAAACCGAAATGATTCATGTCTAATTGCAATTCAGAGCCAATTTGCTTGCCACTTCATGTTTCTCTCTTTAACTGCAGCAGAGAGAATCAGGTAAACAAAGTTCTCGAAGCCAAGTTCAGCTTCGGTGCTTGACCATGGGAAACAACGATGAAGCGAAGTCATCTAAATGACAACTCGTCTTCACCAAAAATGAAATTTAAGTAGAAGGAACGGGAGCTGAAACGGGAGAGGAGGAAAACAGTCTAATAGAATCAGCTAGAAGATCAAGGTTGAGGATGCAGGTATACATGAGAATATATCTTGTTTCTTGTCTTCTTAAAAACATGCAATGCTTCCACTGAGCCTCTTTACCAGATATGAAGCATGAGCTATAACAGTGGAATGATCTAAACCCAACGCGCTTCATTCTTTATAGGCCGAGGCAGAAGAGCTGGCTCGTAAAGTTGAATCCTTGACTGCTGAGAATGCAACAATTAGATCTGAAATAACTCAACTAACCCAAAAATCCGAGAAACAAAGGCTATAAAATGCTACATTAGTGGTACGGACGTGTACCCTTTTTGTACTTCATTTTCCTCCCAACCCCATTTTTATCTTGCAATGACTTGTGGTCTTTTGCAATAAGGAGGGACTGAAAACTCTGAACGAGGATACGCAGAGGAGATTATGAATAAGAAAGAAGACAGAGATGGTGAAATGTACGTGAAAAAGTCGAACTCGGGTGCCAAGCCACGTCAACTCTTGGACCCGAGTCCAAGAGCCGATGCCGTGGTGGCTTGAGGAACAAAGTTTTTTTTTTTTTTAAGATAAATTCGAGGAAACCGCATCGCTTTGGCATGTAATTTACAACCCCCAAAACTACTGCTAACGGCTATAGCAGAGGGAGGAATTAGTGTTTGTATCTTTTTATTTGGAAATCAGAGTGGCGAGAAAGCTTAGAAGAAATGCAGTGTACATTAACGAGAAACTAGATTTTCGTTTAGGTAAGTTCCCTCGTATATGTAACATGTTACAAACGGATTGGTTAAAGGGATTGCAAAGTGGTAACAGTTTGATATCACTTAAGCAAAGTTTTAAATTCGAACCCTTGTGTATGTAGAAAATTTTCATCGAAAAATTTATCTATCAATGTCAAATGTACTACACGGGTCGGTACGAAATCTTGATGGATGGAAAAAATGTAGATGCAACATGTTCAGAATTACCTCATCCAATTAGAGTTTGATGAATGTGAAGTGTATTAATGAATATTAAGCCTGCAATCAAAGCAGTACAATCCATCAAATATAAATAAATAGCATTTCATATTTTTTAAAGTCTAATTTTGATTTTAGTCCTTCTATACTTAAACTGAGATTGACCCCTTAACTTAACCAATTTCAGACCTCTACTTCTATAAAAATTAAATGTAAGTATTAACATGATTATGTGAATTTCTTAAACAATCTTAAATATTCAGTTAATATATAAATTTATCATAAGATGATTTACTAAATTTTCACATCACCTTGAGTATTATTGAGGAACTAAAAAAATACAAATTTTATTATCAAATTAAATATGTTAAATTTTAAGTTTTAGTAAATAATAAGGGGACTGAAATCAGATTTAAACCATATGTTTTCAATTGGATTAAAACTTTTGAAATGATTAAGACTGTCTATTTTACCATTTAACATGTTGATGACGCATTTTGGCATGTCTCCACCATCAAGCTGTTTCACGGCGATTCCGTCGCACTTTACAGTCACCGCCATCTTACCAATCTTCAACCCCCGCCACACCCAGCCCAACTTTCGTCCGGGCCTCCACGTTCACCGGCAACGTCTTGATTCGGTGTCCGGTCCGGAGCCTGTTCCCGACGTCGTCAGCCACCAGCATGTTACTCACATTTGTCTCCACTTTCAAACTCGTCGTGCTTTGTTTCCCCATAGTGAAACCCGTCACCGCCGTCGTTCCCGCCGAAGCCTCACCTTCACCCTCGCCGAAACTGACGTCGAATTCTGTGTCGCCGAAATAGAATGTCATCTTCACGTTCGGGTTCTTTACTTCGAGTCTCGCAGTCGTTGCGGCGTCGAGGTAGGTTCCGTTGAGTTTTTTTTGGTGACGTTAAACTGGGACATCCGAAACTGGACGTGAAAGACGGGGAATTTCGGGTTGAACAAGATGTAGAAGACCATGCAGCCGGTGACGACGAGCAGAATCAAAACCGATAAGAAATGCAGAGCGAGCAACAATAAACACGACAGAATCTACTTTTCCCTTCCCTTTGATGGAAAGACGGTGGCAGCAAAGCTCTTCGCGGAGGCGGTCTGAACCCGGACTGTTCCGCCGGGATGTTTGGGTCGACGCATCCTGGTGGCTTTTGGAGAACCGGTTTCAACGGAGGCTCAGCCATTACTTGTTTTCTTTTGCAACTGAGTGAAAGGAATTAAAAACACTTTCGATTAATGAAGCTTTGGTTTTCCAGAATCTGGCGTTAAATTGATGAACATGAATGGATGATGCTTTTATTGCCGGATTAGTGTGTTTCATTTATTTGTCTTTTGTCCGAAGGTGTGTGGTGTTGGGTGGAAGGGCATGTTCTTCCACATGGGACCGGAGCTTCCCTCTGGCTCTCGTTGCCGTTATCCGCTAACTTGTCGTTTCCGTTATAATTTGGTTAGAATGCTGATTTGGCCCTTTATCATATTAAATTATGAAATTTAAGCCTTTTATTTAAAAATGGAGATAATTTGGTTTTGTAAATTCAGATTAATAAATTAATATCATTAATCTAATATGATAGACACTAACTACAGACTAAGTTAATTGAGATTATGATTAATAACGTAAAGGTAGAGATTACTTGAGATAATGCTTAATAGCAACATTTGAAGGAGTGTTTTTTAATAATAAATTGGTAAAAAGATATCAGAGTCCCTATGCTTTTAAAAAAATAAGGTAGTCCTTGTATTTTTTTTCGTTTGACCGTTATGTGTTGAGTGGAAATTCAATATGCTGACGTGACAATCCACTGTGTTGATGTGGTAGTCCAATGGTTGATAATATGGTAGATGGGCTAAATTGATAACTCAAACATGAAGATGAATTGTCACGTCAGTACCGTGGATCGTCATGTCAATACTGTGAATTGCCACATCAGCGCCGTAATACTCAAACGACAAAAAATGTGGTCAAAGAACCACATTAGAATTATTTCTGAGTTAGAAAATCATTGAAGAAAAATAATACAATATTATTTTAATAATATTTATCTTTATTGAGTAGATTATGAAAGCAATCGAATCTAATATAATTATAGAATATCGAAATATCTAAATAAAAAATCTAAAATATCCGCTAAACTGATTAATTAGCTATTTACTCCTATAAAACAGCATTCTTGGCATTGTGACTTCTAGTCTATCGCACTTTACTCTCCTATAAGCTTTTAATTCAGCATTGAATTTTTTTTATATGAATCCGGCGGAGCAGACAACAATTACCGATGGCGAAGCCACGGATTCTTCTTCTAGCGACAAAGCCGAACGCTGGTGAGCGAAGAGGCACGTAAACGAAAGCAGGCAGGATCAAGATTGTTCCGTTCAATCTCACCAAGCAAACAAAGAAGCAACAAAAATGTTTGTCCAATGGTGTCAAGTACCGCGGTGTTCGAGAAAGGCCGTGGGGAAGATGGGCGGCTGTGATCAGAGACCCGAGTAGCCGAACCAGGTTCTGGCTCAAACCTTCGACACGGCCGAAGAAGCCGCCTTGGTCTATGACAGATCCGCGATTCGAATCGAAGAGGCCGACGCTCTTACAAACTTCGTAAACCCTCCTTCGATGCTGGATATCGAAATGGAAATGATTTCGGGTAAACTCTGGCCAAGAATCTCTTGCAAACTATGAGTATAAGTTTAGTACTTAAACTATCAGTTTTAGTATTTAAATTTTTAGTTTTTTTTAAAATCATATTTAACGTTTTAACCGTTAAAAACTTAACATGTTTAGTATTAAATTATAAATTTAGTCCATTTAATACATAAACTTTCAAAAAATATTCAAAATTAACGTTAAGTTTTAACGGAATACTAAAATAAAACAAAACAAAACATTATGTATGATTCTTAAAAAAATAAAAGTT